ATGCCAAACTCAAGGCTTCAAAACCACAAGCCAATGGATGACAGATATATAACAGATGTTATACAGCATATGATTACAAACTAGAAGCTGAGAGGGCACAGAGAAACCTAAAAGCCTTGAAACCAATCTTTAGTTATCTTTCTAGTTCTTTGTTATCTCACTGTTACAGACAAAAATGTTGACAGCTGGCAGATAACCACCGTGCATACTGGTCTGCATATCAACTACTGGGCAAGTCACTGATATTTTTGTAAAGACAACGTATCAAACCATAGCTGACTGACTCACAAGCTACAGTCTTGTGCACTGGGATAATTGAATGACAGTCAAAACAACTCACTGCTAGCTGCATGTTCAACGTCTTATCCAGGCTGGCCTGCTGATACTGCTCATGTAGAAGGCACACTTTGTACTGCACGCACTGCTGAAACGATAAATTCCAAAATGTGCTACACTTGCCAAGGCTTGGCGTGGGTTCCAAGAGAGAACTCACTGGATTACCAGTATGTATACAGTAGGTGCAAGAGCTACTGTATACGGTACTATAAACTGCAAATCAGTCTGGCTTAAGGTTTTAGTGTTTTTGAAATGTAAATGTCATTACCCATTGAAATCTGTAACAGAACATAACACTTCACTAATTAATTATTTACTAATTATAAAATACTGATTATCATACGGATACAAAAATGTCTTTTGCTCATGACTCACTAATGTGTCTTGAAATAATAAAAAAATGTTTTGTTGACAAGACAATATACATTTGAGGTCCATTTAGTAGCTGTTCTTGAGCTTTTTTGAAGTATGTTTTGACTGGAAGCGAGGGAAACTACTAGCCTCGTATTGTTTGAAAAAAATATTTCCCCACTCCGTCAGCTGTCAGTTTCCATGTGGCGCTGGTCGGGTTTGATTCATGCTTGGCGTAGCTGACAAAGCAATCTGCTGTCTCACTGTCACACTCAATATTAACATCAGCTGCATTCCATCACATGTACATACATGTACAGGTGTTTCAGTCCAAAGTATGTGCCTATCAGTATGTCGGTTACATAAAGGTTGGGCCTGAGCTGTGTGTGTCATGTGCTGGAATGTAAATGTTATGACAGTGAAATCGGGTCAGTGGGGATCCAGAGGCCTCTATGGACAGGTGTGTGGGGTGAGGGCAGTATCTGCCTTCTGTCTGTTTACCACAGCAATGGACAGTGTCTAATGTGAAATACTTACAATCCGGTCTATTGTGGCTATCCTTTCCATTAATAAAAAAAAAAGACTATTCATGACTGCTAAGTCATTTTAGGGAAGAAGGGAGAATAAATAGGTCTGCCATGACCCAATGGAAGAAATTCATAAAACAGACTGACATCATCTGGTTTCCCCTGAGTGCTCCAAGCACCTCGATGAAGCCACAGAGAATGATCACCCAACTCTTAAGCTCTATAGCTGCTTTTTATAGTTATTGTTTTGCTTGAATGGCCTGCAAATTACACTCTCATCAACCTTCATTTCCAGCTGCAGTAGGCAGCTGTTTTTAGCATAATCCCACAGTAGCTACCTGCCAAAAAGACTAAATTAGCAACTATCTGGAGAACATGGACATGTAATTGCTTATTTTTTTCTTTTATTTTTCTTTTATTTATTTAATATTTTTAGGAGTTGGCGAGGACCAAACCATAGCGGAGAGGAGACAAAATCTTTGTCTGGGCTACTTAGATGCTAAATGCTCCACTAGCTGCACCAGCAGTTAGCTAGCTTGCTAACTGGCTGTAGTTTTCAGTGGGTGTATCAGAGCTTTCTCACTGGAAACAGCACACTGATAAAAGCAGAAAGAGAGAACACAAACAGTTAAAACCCAAAACAATGAGTTGAAACATGCTAATATACTTATATGTGGGTTTGTTTCTCCGAGCAACCTCCTACATTACATTTCATATGAAATACTGATTAAGACAGTGGTTGTCAAACAGGGATCTGGGGACCAACAGGGGTCCTTGGGTGGGTTGTGGGGTATCCCTGAAGTAAAAGCGGAATATAATCTTTTTTAAAAACTTTTTTGGAACGTTGCAACAGCAAGGGAAGAAATAGTGTTGGCCGTTTTGATTGATTGTTATTTATAGTGATCCTAGTTTGTTCATTAATTGAGTTTTTTTGTTGGTAGAGCAAAAACCACATGGATGGATTTTGTTGTAAACCCCCATCTGCTGGTAAATCTCCTTTTATACAGCAACACCTCTATGGAAACTGTCCAGCGCCTGAGTGAATCCATGTTAAGAAGGATTCAGGCTGTTCTGCAGGATAAAGACCTCCCAGCTTGCACAAGCTGTACCTGAAGTGTGGCCACAGGGCTTGTACAGAGCTCCCTCTCTATATATCTCTCCTACCACCTCTCTCATGTTAGTGTCAGATCTCTGGTTTACACTGAGTATATTCTGTGTCTATAGGATAACATTCCACTGAATGCTGTGGAACTTTTTACTGTTCTTTCGTTTTGTGCAGTTTTTTTCCATTGGGCAACATGAACCAGATCTGGCCTCATGTGAGTTTCCACTTGGTTAGAAATCATTGCAATAAGTCATCTATCCCCAGTCACTTGACCTGACCAGCACTTCAGTTAGTGGTTTTCACTGTAGACACAATGTGCTTTTGAGAAGATATCTCTGCTTTTTTTTTTTACCACTTGGAGGATGTTATGTTATTTTGCTGGTCTAGAAATTGTCATGAAGTCGTCTATCATTAAATGTGACTGTAAGACTAGGACTAAGAGTCAACTAAAGGCCTACAGTGTAAATGTAAGGAGAGGTCGTTCACTGGTGTGTGACACAGTTTCTGCTGGCTGACATACATCAGCAGGACGATATGACATAATTCATGCCGGTGGAATTTTTGGTATTTGTTATTTACATAGTGATAAAATGTAAGAGAAAAGTGATAACAGAAAGGCACGTGGATGAAATATAAACATGGAGAAGGAATGTGTATTGCTAATTTGTGCAGGTAAGTTTTAAGAAGCTGAGAAGGGCCTTATAAAACCATTTTACAGGTGCATGAGGTAGCTCCCTTGTCCCCTGGGTTTCAGTGATTTAGTATTTCACTTCCATAAAGTTTGGGGACAAACAAGACACAGAGTCTTTTTCAAAGTGGTCAAAGTTGATGCAGCAGCGCCTGAGATTATGGTTCCAAAATACTGGATCCTACAATTCCCATAATGCAACCCAGTAGCTACTTTCTGGCATCTGTATGGTTGATTTTTCTAACTTTCAAACATTCCATGACTAACTAACATGTTAGTTAATTTCTTCAGTAACGTGGTGGTAGTGTATGTGGTTACAATTTGAAATTCAGAACATTAAATAATCCCAGTAATAACTAATTTATCCCAGTATTGCTGTTACTCCGGCATATTAAGGTTCAGCTTGTTTGCTATCTTATTTGGAGTGTGATGGAGGACTGACATCAGTTTGGTGTCTCAATGTTTAATGGAGCATACGCAGTGTGAGCATGTACCCATGCTAGTAGGTGGTACATATGAGCTTCAATCCGTACTTTATGAACCAAAATATCACAACAGTTTGGTGGTTTCCTGTTATAAACAACCTCATGGTATACAAAGTCAAACCCACAAAACCCTTATTTTAAATTCCAGGCAAGATCCCAAAACACAGGATGTCAGACCCGGACATCTACAACGCTTAATTTGACGCAATAGATCAGCCAAAAAGAACCATCTTGAAAGTATAGCGTTTCATTCAGTGTCATTCAAGTATAAAGATGGGTAGTATATAATCTGCATATGAATGTAGAATCTGTAGGCAAGGAAACCAAGATTTTGGCATCAGAAATGTTCTGGTATCCATTTGTTGTCCGAACAGTGTTGACCAATCATGTTTGAGCGGGCTTTGGTTGCATGCAGGAAGATCAAAAGAGGTGGAACTTACACAGAACCCATCGACTATCATCTGACTACGATTTAGCTTTTTATTTGCTTTATAGCTAATCGAATTTTAGCTTAATAGAGATGATCCAAAATGTTTCTTTCTCATAGTTCTCATGTATCAAGTTGCAAACCGGACTGCAGGAAGTCCTAGTCCGGATATTCGTTTTCCAGAGATGGCCCGAGAGGCTAATTCGTCATAGATAATACTCAATGGGTTTCAAGATTGGGTGCTATATTAAAGCCCAAACCTTTATAAATATGTAGAGATATATAACAAATTCAGACGCTTCTATACATGGCACAAGGCTCCACTGAGTGTTTATCGAATATGAAAATGATGAGTTCAAGAGACTGGGAGAATCTATGGCAAGGAGCACTGCTCTGGAGGTTCTGCTGGTTTTTCTTGTCATTTGTCACCCATCAGCTTAAGTGAAGTCCTGGAATAAGCACATCCAGATCCTGGTATGTGATGATGTAGTCAAACACTGGAAAAAAAATTGGGTTCAGATGGTCAACCGTCTGTTTCCACAGCATCTTTGCCTCCGATAAATGTGTTCAAAATTAAATTTGCTATTGGCCTATCTTGTAAAAATGGCGAAAGTGGAAACATATGAATCTTTAAATCCTTCCTGTCCCCCCTTGTTCTCCCTTTCTCATCTCCTTCACCAGAGGAGAAATTATCCAATAGCTTGTCTGCTGTTGAACCCCCTGTCACTCATTAACTTAAGTCATACGACCATTACCGTTAACGTGGCTGCCGTCAGATCATGTCCTAATTCTTGTTTCTCAATGATTCATTCATTGTCCTCTGCCCCACAGTAGATTTGTTGGTTTTGCCATGCAATGACTTGTAATGGTTGACTTATTGGGAGACTGTTGGGTCAGAACAGTTCAAGGTCAAGAGCACAGTAACATGGAGGAGAGTGGAACTTAGCAGAAAGTCTGATATACTCAATAATTGTATTTAGCATTTTGTGTCAAAGCCTCATGCGATTCTATCATATACGTCTTTATGTCCTTTAGGAATGCACACACACACTCTTGAATCATACTCCATACTTCATCACACTACAGTATAGTTCTTTATTTTACAGAGTAAAGGACATATCAAACAGTAACATTTAAACTACAGTTAAGACTTCCTCTCCCGCCATAAAGTCACGTTGAAGGAACAGTGGAAAGGAAGAGATAAATAGTCTTTGGTGACATACAGATATTAACATACAAAGATAACTTAAATACATAATGTTTTTTAAATAGTTTGGCTAAATATATATATATATATATTCACAGGTGCACGCGACGTTCACAGTCATCCTGACGCCACATGGAGTGCACTGACATCTTCAAACACATTCGCAGACAATCTCAAATGCAACATTTACAAGAGGAACCTCGTCCAACTTTCACAAGTTCATCACAATGAGTGAAATTCAAGAAACTATCCACACGCATGTTTGCATTAAAGTGCTTTCCTGTGACCCTAAAGGAGATCGTGTGACTTTCAAATGGAAAATCTGCCCTATCTTACAAAACTAACAGAAACATTTTACGTGCTAACTCTGCACTCATTCCTCTTTGCGAGCCGTGAAAGCTCTGGATGCTTCTGCGGGGAGGTATTAGCGGTCGTGCACAGTTTGCTCACACAACTCGACGTGACGCAATGCCAGACGTCACAAAAACATACTGAGCAAAAAAAAAAAAAAAACTGGGAGCACAATGGTCCAGAGCACAGATCAAACACAGGAGATAAGTGTCCTGATAGGCTACGCACACACACGCACACACATCCTGTGTGTGTGAAATAGTACATTTTAAAAAGTAGAGAGATCCACCAGGGTTTTAGAGCGTTTGAAAAGCCTTTTAATGATCCGTCACGAGACATTGATTAGCTCCATTACAGCAGAGAGAATGGCATGTTTCACCTCAGCAAGCCTTTGAACAGATTAGAATTAAGACTAAAGAATCACTGGTTATTACCCTGTGACCTCAAGCCCCCCCGATTACAGAGAGAAGAGAGCCAGGATGGGGCTGAGAGACTAAATGTAAAAAGAAGCTGTTGATGAAAAAGACACAAAGTAAAATCAGAAGACACAGATTAAGATAGAAAAGAGCACATTATTATATGATGTAGATTACACACTGTAAAGTAATTTGGTTCGTCAAGTATTGCCAGGTATTTGGTGAGTTTACACTAATGCTCTTAGGAATACCGAACTCTCATGTTTGTGAAATGATATGCAAAATAACAAAGGCTGAAGTACTCCTGTGACTGAACAATTAATCTAAATGACCGTGCACATAAATCAGAAGGTATTACTACTATGAAACAACCACTCTCTGCGCATTAAAGAGGCTACCATATAGTAAAAGTCTTGGAATAGAACTTTAGAAGTATGTAAATAATATGGAATATAATTAAGTTTCTCGCTAGAAGTGTGGGTTTTATTGCATTTTTTGGAAAGTTTAAGGCCCTGTCAAATTGTAGCACACTCGATGAGTAGAACTTGACCTCAGTTGTTCTCAGTCATCCGCCCACCATTTCATCGGGGCATGTATTTTTGATGGCGCGACGCTATTTTGCGCACATATTTGAAATTGGGCACTCTTACGCCTAACATTTTGGCTGCTGTGGTCTGTCATTAGAAACCCACAGTGTAACAGTGGAGCTTTTAGCCGGCGTCTCAGGACTAATTTAAACCCATTTAACATACTGCATGTGAACAATAAGGGCGGCTGTTGCTGCCAACAGAATTGTTTATATATACTACAATGTGTTGTAGGTATTGCCTATAGAAAATGTAAGGAACAGTTTATTCATTCCTTCTTATTACTGTTATCCACCATATCAAGGCAAATATGTTTCATTAGAAGATTAGACTTATTATTGGTGGATTTGCCAACGTTTTGAGCCACTTAGAGTGTAATTCTTTTGTAAAATGTAAGCAATTCTTTTGTTTTTGGCACTTAAAGGGTTGGTTTAACAAAATTACATAGGACAAACAAAAAATCCCCACATATTTTCTCACCTACGCAATGTTTTATGATTGAAATTTTGTCTGTGGTGCTCACAGAACTAGAATTTAGAATTTATTAAGTAAGAATCCATGTTACTCTGGGAAATCTCCAAAATATGATGCAAAGATAGGATAAAATTAGGATAAGGATAAGTATTTTTGGTGAACCGACCCTTTAACATCTGCAAACTACAAGGCTGCATTTGTGCTTTAGTGAGGATGCCACATGCCTTGCTCTTTCTTTCTTTATTAGTGCTGAATGTGTAGACCATAGGAGGCTGAGGGCCCCCTCCCCTCCCCCCACTGTGGCAGTACATATGACTGAAGTGATTAGGTCAGGTTTATTAAACTGCTGTCAACCGAAACTCCTGACTTGCAAGGGGAACTTATGAATCACGTGAAAAGGCTAATATTTCAGACTTGGCCCCCTGTGGGGGAAATGCTAGCGGTAGTACGACGGAGCTCTGATCTGGGCTCCAAGGTTCACTTTGCCACCTACTGTGTTGGCCAACAGGCCACCATAATGCAACTTTGAAACTGATCCTTTGGAAAGTTAGTTTTTGTGTAGATTCCTTCCAAGTCACTGGATGCTGACCTTCTTTCTTTCATTTTCAGCATGGAGTTTTTGTGGTTAGGTCCTGACTCAGAATGCTCTTAAACTCGGGTGTAACCTGAGTTCTGAGGCTGGTTTCAAATGTAAACTGTGGTCCTGAAAGACAAAGTCTTGCTGAGTGATGAATCCCCAGTTCAACTGAAAGCTGGTGGAATACTCCCGAGATGTAAGTGTTCATATTGAAATTGTATATGCAGTTGCAAAACGACTTGGGAGTTCCAAAGTTGACAAAAAGGGGGCGCACAAAAAAAGAGGTGAAAGGGTTCATTGGTCATTTACGAGATCTTTGGAAATACATTGATTTTGACAGGGCTCCGGCTCTGAGTGCAGGTTGAAATCCACATTAGGGGCTTAAGTGTTTGATCAATGAGCCACGGGATAACCACCGCTGGCGTGATCAGTTGGCAGACAGGACCAGGCCACTGAATGGTGTTGAGGACAACCCTTCATTCTTACATTAACAGGATTAAGATGTCAAACTGAGGCCTCTTGGCTTCTTTTGAGCGTTCAGGAGGGCAAACCAAAAAGACTTGAACATCCTTCAAAAGGCAAACGTTCTCAGGATGGTGGGAGAACTCAAATTGGGGGTTTCAAAGACAATTCAGTCAGTCGTGATCTTGAATTTGAGTCTTCAAATCCATCAATCAGCACAAAGAGTAGAGACGCACAACAGTCATTTATGAGGAGTATAATTGTCATTTTAAGACAGATAAACAAATGGACTACATCAACTCTAATGCAAAAGCTACCAGTAACACATTAAGAGATAAATAAATGGGTATATAGATAAGACTTGCTGTGGGTGTTTGGAGGTGTCAACTAACTCATCCATAACTATGTGGGCTCCGGGGGTTGATGGGAGATGAGTCTTCTCTGCCACTCTGACCAATGAGCTGATAGAGCCGGTGGCTGAGGTTCTGCACTTGGCATGTTCCCAGGACGCAGCCCACTCTCATCAGCTGGGCGTGGTGGTGACCCCCTCGTGATCCCGAGTGGGCATGGCGACGAGCTCTCTGCACCCTCCTCTCCATCTGCGAAGCCTCACTGGGTTGTGCCCATGTCAGGTTTGGCGAAGCTGTTCTTACTCCTGTGGCTGGTTGGCGTCTCGGGAAACCGGGCAGCCCTTTTGTGTATTGACTGGGGGCTGGAGCGGGGACGGTGCCATGAGCCTCTCCTGATGGAGAGGCTGTATCCTCTCTCTGGTCGATGAGCTTGAGGAGGTCCGACCTGAGGAGAAAAAAGAAATCAGGTGAATAATTGCATAGAAAATGCACATCTCACCATTGAAATTAGGTGTTCAGGTACAGTATTACAGCAAAATGTTGCAACAGAAATCAAAACTGGAGGAAAATGCTGGTGCATGGACAAACAAGGAGGCAAAATACAACCAGAACAAGAGTATGCAGTCATTTTAGCAGCTGTGTACTTGGGCACTGCATTGCTTTGAGCTAAATGCTAACATCAGTGTACTATGATACTCACAGTCACATGAAAGGACCAGTATGCAGGATTTAGTTGCAGATTGCAACCAACTGAATACTGTTCGCCTTCCAAACGTGTAAAAATAAAAAGCCAAAAAGCCATTAAAGAAAAAGACGCTTTAGACAAATCAAAGGTTTGACTTAATAAAAAGTTAAGGGAAACTAGAGTTTTTACAATTCAGCCTGAGTTGTACATAAATGTGTGTATTATGACAATTCATCCATTAGTTGCTGAGTCATTTCCCTAAAAAACAAAAATATCTACCTCTGCACTCAGGGACATAACAGGAACTGAGGATAGATTTTTTTAGCTTTAAAAACAGACCTTTAGTCATGCATGCACCTGCGAGCATTGTTACTATAACAACTAATGTTGCAAGGGCACAGGTACTTCTGCAGAAATCAGATTAGCTGTACAAAGCAGCTTTGATAAACAAATCATTTTTGCCTGCTGTCTGGACACAGCGTGGCTCTCAGCACAGGCGGCCGTCCATTCGGACACCGTGTTCATCTCTTAATGCACTGCATATAAGTTAATGGCTTTTCACATGTTGCCTAAAACATAATGAGCTCTGGGTCGGCCTCACTTATTACATTACACAATCCAAACCTGCACCTCGCTGCATTTTAATGCCCAGCTGGGTTTCAGTGGTAGCTATGGGAGCCTGGTCAGCCAAGTCTCAGTGGTGCCGATGGGCTCCAGAGGAGAACATTAAAATTTCAGCTGAGAAGTAAAACAAACCGGTGGAGTTAGTTAAGTTTAACTATTTAACATGTAAATCAAATACATTTTTTTCAGTGTTTAATAAACCTTGTTCTGCCTTGTTTCAACACATAATACACTCAGTGGAACTGTAGACATCTATTGCTCAATAGACACACATTTTCACTCTTTAAAGGGTCAGAGTTTATGTACACAGGGTTTGAGATTTTAGCTTCTGAAACTTCTACCACCGCTCTTGTACAATGAAGCTGAATGGAATTTGAACTGCATTTCTCAAAACATTGAAAATCTCAACAGCAATGCATTTAATAAAATCTAGCAGTGGAGTTGCAGTTTGCAACCATTTCAAATCAGTTTGGCTTCCAAGCATGTAGGAGAAACTACGGTCTACTACTACTACGCAAAAGGCCCAATCTAGATATAGTGGTCGGTTTGTACGTTCTGGGCTACTGTAGAAACACGGTGGTTCAACATGACGGACTATGTAGAGGAGGACCCCGTCCCTCTGTAGATAAAAACGGGTCATTCTTAGGTAATGAAGGTACAATGATTCTTATCTTCAGGTGATTTTTTAATATTATATTACATTTCTGCCAATAGATCCTCCTAGATGTTACACACTGGACCTTTAAGTAGAGTCAAATGAGAAAATATGTGGTTTGTAGTTTGGGTGGAAAGACCCTTTACAAGAAACAGGTTTCCGAGACTGCACATTAGACTAAATGGCCTGTTAAGATGGACAGACTCTGCTGTGCGTGTGGACCGGCGGGTACAGGCCGTTCAGCAAACACGGTGGCGACCAACTCGCCATCTGTTCATTGTTTGACAAAGACAGTCTCTTCTCACAACTTGACCCTGCAGTTCTTCACTTTACTGTCACTGCTGTGTTTGTACAGCACAGTGTGACTAAAGTCACTGAGTGTTAACCCATCCCCACCGCTGAAGGTCGGGGAGGAGTAAATAGAAAAGTGCTGTTGCGCCTGGCAGCCAGAGATAAATAGGATGAAAATGTAATGAGATTTAAATTCAGGGCAAATATATCTGCAGCTTGCTTTTCTGAAGAAAAAAACCTTCCACTGCCTCAGGTTTGGCACTATTTTCCATTTTCTACTTATGTTCTGAGAAGCAGAAGCTACGGTTGATCTAATTCTAAAAAGTGTGTTATACTTGTGAAATGCTGACTTGTATTATTTCACCATAAACACTTAATCTTTACTCATTGTGAGGTTGAGATGTGAGACATCAGACAGCTCCTCTTACAGTCTTCTCTGCTGGGTTTGGGATTTCTCTGTGAAATGTGAAGCTTTTGGTTTATTCAGCCGGTTGAAGATGCTGATTCACTGCTGACAGGTCTGGTAGCCCGTGAGAGACCTGCTGTCCAACAGTGGCAGTGGCTGAATAAATAGTTGTATAACGCCAGGCCACAGACGGAGGCGAGCACTATTTCCAGGACAGGCTTGGTTTGCCATGGTGCCACATCACCAAGTTACACCCACCTGGTCTGCACAGGAAAGCTATTCACATGGGTCACAAGGCAGCAGTGGTGGCCCTGCACCAAACTGCACTATTTTTGTTAAATTTGTATGTAACACTACATAGCCCAATCACAGAATAAGTATTTTTAATAGCTCTATATGTATATTTATTGTATCTACATAGCATTTTCACAGTTTTTCAACTGTTTTAAGGGTGGATTTAAAGTTAGTGATACTTTTTGTGGATTGTATTCTGACTTTATTTCTATACAAGACAAGACAGAACTGTAATCTGTGGTGTGGATGACTCCTTTTTTGAATTAGGATCCTGGAGATCAAAAGTCTAAAGTAAGATCAAGTCTAAAACAGAAACACATTATACCGAGAACCAGATTAACACACTTTGAGGCCCCGATGTTAAAGATCATCTGTGGGCCCGTCCTCGCCCAATAGGTAATAACGTAAGTGTCTCCTCAAAAGGAACAAGCCCTTTTATTTGAGTTTATAAATTGGTTTAACAGTGCAAACAGTATTACTAATCTAATTTAGAATGAAATAAATGATCACACACCAACAAAGAGCCTTTGGGCCCCAGAGGCTCTGGAAACCTGGGGCGGTTGCCTACTTTGCCTGTTGGTAATCCATCCTTGTTTATGCCGTGTAAAGATTACTGGTAAACCCTGTAGAGAATGGACTGTCATATAAGAAAGGCGCTGTCCCTTCTCTATCCATGACACCAATGCTTTGACCTTTTTATCACCCTAGCAAGAAGTACCTGAGAAACTGGTAAATGTGGTGCACTTACCTAATTGTCATATCTGAGCATGTTAGACTGATAAATACCAGGAACAAGGTCAGTGTTTTGTTCTTGGCCAAGTCACCATCACTCATAGCTAGAGAAGATGCTAAGTCTACCAACTTTCTAACTTCTACAGCAATCTAACACTGACTATAGTATCGATAGTGGCTGGCACATGGCCACAAGGACTTTGGGGTCTGTGCTACAACAATAATTACAACAAAGAATGCTTCCTGGAAGAGTGAGACTAAATTAGGCACATAATATTTGCCTCAATATAAGGTTTAATGTGTTTCTCAAGTGTTTGGTCTCTAGAGGTCTTGGTTTGGGTTTCAAGATTTGCAATGCTTTTCTTGTTTATCTCAATTGATCCCTGACATCCTTCAGTATAACTCAAAGATTAATCACATAAGTACTTTTTAAGTAGTTCTCTAATAGTATACAGGCAAATTGAAATGTTATATTTTGTGTCAATAGCTATGGGAAGTACTTGTAATGGAGGGCAAAGCCAAGGCCAAGCCTCGAGTCAGTCTGCCCAGAAGCAGCTCCAGTTACATCCTTTTCAAAAAGACTTTGGACTGTTGTGCTTTTTCTTCCAGAAGTTGAAAGAATCTTGCAGTGGACTTCTCTTTAACTTTGTCACATTTGATTTCACAAGAAAGATAGGCTAATTTGGCTATTAAGAGCCTAATCCCTCAACTCGAAAGCAATGGGGATCTCCGTGATTGGCAGACGATCAAAGCTACCCAATCTACTTTGTCTTTAATTGTTCAGCCCACTGTGGTTTCCGACACCTTGCATGGTCTTAGTTTAAGGGCTTTAAAGTAAAATTCCTTTTGACTAAAGATGATTTCTAAGGATTTTACAGTTCGATAAAAGGCCAAGCTGATCCCTTTGTGCTGCCTTGTTTGGGTTTTCTTCAGTATTAACCTCACAGCATTGCTGCCTTTGAGGTGAGGAATCAAAACTGGAGTATCCAGATGTTGATGGCAAGCTTTAACCCTTAACCCCAACAATAACCCTGCAAAGGTTACCCTCGATGAAGGTCTGGGCTATGCTAGAAAAAAATTGTTTGCACGACTTGTTGTCTGTCAAAAATCTGATCTTAAAAGTAAAAGTAAAAGTAAGAGTCTCTCCTGGAAGGCATTCATAGTGTTACACTCCATTGAGAAGTGGTAGAAACACAAAAAAGAAAAAGAAGTTTGCCAATCACTGCATGAAATGTAGTGAAAGGTGTGAATGTCGTTTTTGGAAAGTTACAGAACTTGTTGGACGCAGCCCGCCCAATTCCAACCTCGGAAAAGAGGTTTCCAGCCATTCTGACAAGTACTTCCGATGACGTATACTCAAACCCTAAACCCCTAGAGGGTAAGCCCTCCGTCACCCTAACCCTAGTACCATGCTGCTGATACACTACATGATTACCAGAGAGGCTGAAGCTTACCATGGGCAGCCTTAATCATCAGTAAATATGGCACATTCATTTGTAATCTCCCACTAGGTAACAGTGAGGAGATTGTTGTTAGCAATAAGCAGGACAAAAATAAATGAAAGGTGATTTATGTCTCATGAAACACTGGTCCTACTTGTTCGGGAGCAGTCCTGCTTTTATAACCTCCTCAGTGGCTTGTGATTTATTTAATGCCAGCAAAACTGGAGCATACTTAGTACAGCCAGTAAATGACTCTGACAGACAGGATGCCAAATTAAAAACTATAAGTCTGCTCTAGACCACAACATTGCGATGCGAGTAGACAAAACACTCACAATCACAGCATCAAACAACAGCAGGTTTCTTCTCCCCCCAAAAGTCTCCTTTGTTTACCCTAAGCCTTTTGATCCACACTGCCACTATAAGCTACTCCTCTTATATATACAATATACATGTGCACTCATGCCGCCACAACGGTGTGGCTTTCTGTGTGGAGTGGAAACCTGCTCTTTAAGGAGGTAGAGGGTGGAATTTAGGTCTTAGCCATTAATCCATGGTGGAATTCTCTGCCTGCTTGCTAGCTCCTCCACAACCTCCTCAGCTCCAGCCTGGGTTTAGTCAGGTTGACCCCCGAGGAGCCACACGACTGTTTATACCATACATATGTATGTCTGAGAGGTCTAAGCCAAAATTCCTGTTTACAACATGCAACAAATTAAACAAGACATATAAGAAGAGGTGTCTCTTAAGATGATTTACCACAGAGGCAATCCTGGTTGTGAGCATAAACGTGGTTTTCTGAGATGTATATTTCTGATGTATACGCCATAAAGAGAGAGTAATGTTCTTGTTCCTTGATAAGTGTAAACATGTCAGATATCAAGAGGACGGACTCAAAGTGGCTTAACAAACACCAACGAGGCAGGAAGCCACCCTGTGCGAGATGAATTCTGTCTGTTTCTCAGGTAAATATTATGGTCAACGTTGGACATCTGAACCCCACGCTGTTCAAATTCACGCGTACAAGAGTGGGTTAATAATTTAACAAATCGTTTTGGGGAAAAACATGACTTTATTTGGCCTTGAAAAACACAACATCTACGCACAGACTGACTTGTCATGTCATCGTACCCTGGTCCAGATGGAGCAGAGGCAGAGCGGGTCAGTGTAACAGAAGTTTGACCACAAAATCAGCTTTACATGTCCTTGGAAGCAAAGAGCCATTTCCCAGTTCTGGAATCTGTATTGTAAAGCTGCTTCACTGCTAAAGCCATATTTAACCAACTACTAAGCTATTTTCCCTCACAAAAAAACCACAAGATGTTATGTAAAACGACAATGAAGGGTATGCGTTGCGTGTGATCCCAGGAACATGCAATTTCTCCTTGTTTGGAAAGCACTCGCCAGGCGTTGTTACAACGCCTATGTGGGATTTTGTCGTGTCCTTATCAGGACACATAGGGACAACATGGACACAAACACGGAACAGGGAAGGAATGACAGACATCTGAGCTCAGACACACTCAGCAGACAAAAAAATTTAGAGTAGTCATGTCTGTTATTATCATGCTGTCAGCATTTGATGGTAACAGAACAGCATGTGCTCTATGGAGTTAAGAGAAAAGGGAGAATTTACTGTCCTAATAAAAGCCAGAAGGGACGTTTATGAGAGATATGCAGAGTGAGAAATGTGGAGGCTTGTGAAGGAGGAGAGGTGTTGATCTCTCACTGTTGTTGCAATATGATCACTGGGAGGAATCAGTACCAGGCACATGATTTCAAGTAATGTGGTATCTCCAATGGGATCGATCAATCAATAAGAAGTCTGATTCAAAGGACCCATTTGTAGGATTTAGTGGCATCTAGCGGTGTAGCTGCTGACTGCACCCTTACCTCACCCTCACATTCCAAGCGTGTAGTAGATACTTCGGTGGCTACAAAACTTGCAAAAGAATGCAAAAAGGCCCTGGTTGCAGTAAAATAAATAAATAAAGATACCAAAAAGATCGGGTTTCAACCCACAACTGCGTTGTTTTCATTTGGATGAGTGCAACATAGAGCACAATTGTGTTTGTGGTGGGAAGCCAGTGAGGGATCACGATCTTGTCACTGTATTACAGACTTCTACCGGTTGGTCAGGGTTTAGTTGATGTTTCCCTGAGTCTATGTGTTAGTCTATGTGTGACACATCTGCAACCTCCCCAGTGTCTACAGTGCAAGTATGTAGCAGTGAAAGGCATATGCCGTTCCAAAGTGGGTAAAACACATAAAGAAATGGTCAAATTACCCAACTCTGATGAAGATAAGCAGGTTAGGGTGTTCACATTGCAATTTCAGTCATGTTGAGCATTGCCTCACTCAGGTTTAGAAGCATTTTTTAGTCTCTTTGCAATGTTCAAATAAGAAGAAAATCCCCAAAAAAGAATAATTAAAGAAAAAGGTCGGCTGTGTGTGGAGGTGCCCAAACTAGCAAAATAAAGGTTAGATGTAGATGACCAGTGGAAGGAAAATACATATATTACTGAAAGTTCTGGTGAGATATATGGCAGTCTAATTGACCTCATTCACAGCAGCCATGTTGACAGGTAATAGTAGGGTAAACACAGGTTTAATAGGTGTTAATTAGGGTTCTGTTCCATTCAGGTAAATAGAGTCAAGGTGCTGCTGTTGTGCATATCCGCCACACTAAAAAGAATAGAACCTTAATTAGTGTCATTGGTAAAACCTTTATTCTGCTATTTCATGTCAAAATGGCTACTGTGAAAAGGGTATAATATACAAAGAAAATCATTTTAACTGCTGTATCAGTTTCTCACTCTGACAGATAAAAAAAAATACAGCGATGATGACCCATGCTGGTAATGCCCCTGACACTTTCAAACAGAGATTGGAATCATGGGGGATTACAGTGCTGGCCAGGTGTAGTGAAGGAGCAACAGATACAGGAGGCTTGCTTCCCTTTATTTCGCTTAGGTTTCAGCAACAGGTGTTCAGCATTTGAAAACACACACACACACACACACACACACACACACACACACACACACACACACACGCGAGAGAGATGGTCACCTGAGGGAAAGTTCCACTCCCAGATCTTCTTACACTGTTATATTCTCTGTATTAGACGTTAAGTGCTTTCTTTAAAAGCCTCACTTTCCTTCCAACCTCGCCTTCTGCCACATCATATTGAATCATATTGTGTTAAGCATACTGATCATGTTTCACACTTTTTCTGCTCTGATGAAGGTCGGATAGACCGAAAGCTTACTAAATAAAGTGATATACTGAATGGACCAGACAAAGTATTGATTCATTGAGAAAATGATTCAGAGGTTAATCAATAATGAAAATAATCATTAGTTGCAACCCTATCATCCTCTCTAGTATCAAATAAAGGCAAAAATACCCCGAAATAATCTAAACCCACTGCTAATGTTGCTGCTACAATATCACAGCTCCAAACACCACCAGTAACATCACTGCTGTATTCAAGATGCCTCAGTCAGGCCAAATCAGCTGATACAAGATGGATTATAGAGGACGGTCACAGTAGGCCTTCAGAGGCCCCGTGTTTGCCTTTGTCCAGGGTCTCCCCACATCCCAACACTGAACCTCCCTCCCAGGAGAGCCAGCAGCTGTGGATCCAAAATCCACCAGAAGAGGGCATTCACACACCAACTCATCCACATTCTTCACTGCTACTCAACTCCTCACATGTATTGCATCGCTGGCAGGCCTCCCCCACACATCAGAGTGGGTAGACCTATGTGTATTGGACTGTTAGTAATCAAACTGGTTGTTATGCTGTTGCCTAATGTTTTATGCAGGGCTTTGCGCTAATCTCTGCCACTTAAGGGGTGGAAAAGTACAGGTGCCATTCAGCGCCGAACAAGATCTTTTACAATAGTCTGTGCCAGTATTTCTGGCCAGGGCTATAAAGGGAGACAAACTGGTTTTCCCACCTCGGAAATAGCAGTTTTCCATACAGAATCACGGGGAGATTAACCCAAACAAAACCTCTATAAACAGTAACTCGTGTGACGGCTGTTGGGATGGAGAGGTGGAGGAAGAAGAAGGAGCAGAAGAGAATTGTTCAGATTAATTGTAACGGCGGGGACAATAAACTCACTTGGCACAGTCAAATATGGGTCACATTTACTGTAGATCTGATATAAAATGTGAATGTGAGACACTTTAATTCCCTTCTCATATCATAACCTGCATGAACTCCCAATCACTTACTCTAAACTTTAGCCTACTTTAGTGATTGGAAGCGTGACTACCATAGAACATGAAACTATAAAACAACTGTTAGGCTACATAATAAATGTTTTTATTTTTGTTTCGTTTGGGTCTTTTTAATGATTTAAACAGTTATGATGGATCATTTGAATATGAAATCAGTGCCTAACAGTGTAGTTACTAGTTCTTGTTTCACAGCTGATCTGCTCTCAGGCAGGGTGTTCTCTCAAGGAGAGATATAGTGTTTATTGTATCATGGCAGAGCCTCTGACCTTGCAGTCTACATTATCCAGTATCTGACGACACAACAACACACAGTAACCCCGGTGTGATTTATTACACCGGCTACAGGCTACATGATTCAGCCTTTAACCTCTGTGTCCACTAACTGACTAATAAACTCAATACAATAAGATAGAGGGAAAGTGTAAGTTTTAAAAACGCTAATGTCACATTTGTGTGCTAAATTCCACTGGAAAACTATGGAAATCTGGGAAAAAAATTACTTTGAGCTATAAAAAAGGATGTAAGCTTAAAATAACTTCGGCTTTGTTGCCAACTCAACTCTGCACATTAGAAACATCAATCATTAAAAAAAAAAAAAAAACATGTTTAACGCAGCGTTTAATACTTACGCCATTATAGCTCATTTACATTGAATAATGAATCTTTAAGCTTTAACCCCCAAACAAGCGGGTCAAAGTGGCCAATAAGCGCCTATAGTGCCGGGAGGCGCAGTAATATTTAAACGAACTGTAATGGGGCTCCAGGTGAGTTTAACTCGTATGTTTAAGAGTCCTATTCAGCCAATCAGAGCGAGGAGCGGGTCTTTTTCTTAATAAAGTAGTGTCTTACCTGTTCCTGTCGGGACGCTCCTCAGCAGGCAACGCCAGCAGCTGCTGGAGGGAAACCAGGCTGATGCAATACACAGTAAGCGGGAGAAGGGACCGCATCTCCGGACGCCAACTTTAACTGTACACCCTCTCTGGGAAGGAGGGGGCGACCACACGGAGTGGGCGCAGTTGAAATCCCAAAATAAAGGGAGGAAAAAAAGAAAAGTGTTCCCAAAAGGTTGATGCTCTGCTCAAATATCCAAAGTTGCCAGCGGAGATTGCTGATGAAAGATCTGGAGAGAGCAGAAGTTATACATGATCAATTAACCTGCTGCTCATGGACCAACAGTGTAACAGCAAAGAAAGAGCAAGTTGCTCCCATATTGCATTCATTCAGACACTTAATGAGAAACTGCACTGAAAATATCCCCAGTGCACTCTTCATCAAAACCTCTGCTTCATAGCACCCATTAAGCTTATGCACCAGATGAAGACTTTCCTAAAAATGCCCCAAAATGCACCCCTAATCCATTCTGCACACACTTTTCATTTTACACATTACATTTTATGACTAACTGTACTCTGTAACTGATGAATAGAAGTCTTACCTTCTTGGTATTTAGAGCTCAGAATCTGTGTTTATTTGTAAAGTTTTTTTTCCCCTATGAATCCAAACGTGTTGGTCAAGATCAAGTTCTCCAGTGTGAAGCTGAGCGCCTGCTGACATTGCGGGTTTAAATACTAAGTGGGCGGAGTTCCCTGACTGAAGTGCCGATGGGCAATTTTTCAGTGGCAAAGCCAAGGTGCTGTAACATCATTATCTGCCATGCTGGGAATATCCTGATCTGGCTGGCACACATCAACCCTGGAAACACCCTGGTAGCGTCTGTAAATGATAAACTATATCAAATTGCATGATGTTGCTAAAGCTGCTGATGCAGACCCTAAAGTATGCCATAATTACTATAAAGTGAGTATTGAGCAGCACAGACTCACTTTAAAGTATTATTGTAGAAATATTGTGGTGGCATTATGCAGTAAAGTAGGCCTAATGGAAATTCACTATCAAGCAAGTCCTATTTTCATAATATATTGTAGTGATAAAATATGAGTTCTAAACTATCATAAAATACATGAAAAGTCACACAGAAACCCCAATACAGGACTATTTCTGTTAGCTCGGATGCTAAAGATATATAAATATAGTATTCATCACAGAGTACTGTGCACTATCATAACCAACCATGCACATACTCAGGAACATAGCCCCAATTTTCATGAATTTCTCGAGCAGTTTGTCTTTCTGACCAAACCCGCCTCCTTATCTCTTATCATCACTGTCAGCCAAGTGTGTGAGATAGATAGACGGAAATGCAGGAATCTTCACAGAATCCCCAGAACGGTCCCACCATGCAGCATCATTGATAAACGTACTGATCTGAACGTTTCCTTCATTGCTGTTGTCACCGTTTACTGAAATAGACTATTTGTGTGATTCTTCAGGGAGTCTTAAACGTTACCAAACCATGACTTTATCACTTTCAGTTGTGTTTTGAAATCTGCTACAACAGATGTGGCTCTGATATGCCACAGGTTTAAACACGTATCTTACAACTCTGTTTTAATGACTCAGATGAGTCCTGTGCAGCCTATTTCATCTCCTTAGTGAGCATATTTGTACTGTGTCCAAGTTCCCTCCTTCCTTTCTAACTCAATTGGCTCATGCGGCGACACAGTAGTGATACATACACCTGATCTGATCCTGCCTCAAATGTTGTTACGCAACATTAATTTCCAAGAAAGCATGTTAAGCAGGTTGTCAGCAGTATAGTGGACGCCTCTCTGGAAATATGCATAGGCAAGAAAAGCGGCAACAGATGCAGGGCAAGCAAAGCCAGACTCCATGAAGAATGTAAGTATGTGATGTTTGTTATTTGTCTTTTTGCTGACGCAGAAATCATTTCAGGCCTCTAAATAAACAGCAGGAGGCCTTAACTGCACATGTAGTAAACATCAACATTTAGAAATATGGCTGACAATACAAAACAAGGACACATGTCATTTGGGGCAACCATCATTGTTTGGATTAGGCAACACAGGGACCCCTGGGTGTTTGTTCACTGGGAACTGCAACTCAGTTTTGCTTTTATTTTCAGTCATATGTTGACTATTCCAGGATTTTAAACTTATTCAAAGAATTGGAATCATCATGTGTTTGTGTTTTGTAAAAAGAGAAAGGAGGACGTGCCATTGCCTGGATTATGAATTTGGGGGATTTTGTGTCTTTGAGGATTCTAGAAATATGATTAGAACAGCAGGAAGAGTTTAGGGTTTTTCAAAGATTTTGCGAGTATTGATTTCTCAGAAATAGGGATGCTTGGCTCACTGACTGAAATTGAATAATAATAATATACTGGAGGCACAAACTGGTGCTGAATCTAACAGACAATTTGACACATGTGGCTGTTTGACTTCCAAAATCCATCCTGAAACACTTGAACACAGTAAAAAAAACTATTTTTCCTCTTCCTATAAATTAACAAGGCAAGTCTTGATTGGATCATGTAATATTGACATGTTTCCAGGAGCTACGGGAGATTTACATCAGTTAATGGTTCGGTGATCTCAGCTGTCAACCGAAATGTCAGCTTTTGTGTCAGTCCTGAAACTTTGCACTCACAGTCGAAGCAAAGGTACGGAGTTTCTACACCTACAGGTTAGGTTTTGAGCTAAGTGGAGCAGCATCTTCGATTCAAGTCCTCGAAAGCATTAAAGGGACATTGTGTAGGAATTTCTCCCATCTAGCGGTGAAATTGTATTTTGCATTCAAACGAATAGTGCTCTCTAGTGCCTCGTGTTTTCAAATGCGTATTGCAACAACGGTAGCCGTTATGTACCAGGAAGCCTACCTGTTGAGGAGAAAGCAGGCAACTTCAGCGTCCCTTTGAAAGTCTTTCTCCTTCATTAGCTCTTTCCACCTGGGAAAAGCTTCCCCAATGTTTACCCCCGCCTTTTTAATTAGCTTTTTTTCTCCTTCTCCTGTGGCTCGGCATAAGTATGATCCTCCATTATGAACTAAAGTGCAGTGCAGACTTTCAAATGTGCCGGGGCAGTGACAAGCGCCTCTCACTGATCTCCTTCTCTGTTATAGCTGGTTTCAGTCACGTGACGCTGGCTCTGAACGAAAAAGCATTAGCTAGACAGGTAGGCTAGTGCTTTATGTCTCTGTCAGCGATTATAGTTTTTTAAAATGACGGAAAGACATGGAAGCCTCCATGAACTTGCCCGTCCAATGTATATACAGATAAGAAATTCTTCGCTTACGAGGGTAAGTCAGATCATCAGGCAGAGGTAATTTTACACCAATGAGGACACATTTATGAATGAAGACATTGATTTTAGCTAATAAAATACTTATAACACTACACAATGTCCCTTTAAAGCTGCAGTAGGTAACTTTTTGTCATATTGTCTGAAACTTTCACTATATCCTGACAGAAGTACACAAGACAGATAATCTGTGAAAAAATCAGGTTTCTCTTGCTCCTCCTAGAGCTCCTAATGGCATTGGCAAAAATCCACCGGGCCTGAACGAGAACAACCAATCAGAGCCAAGAAAGATAGTTGTTTGTTGATTCTCAGCTTTAAACAGCACAAATCCATAATTTGTAACAGGAAGAAAACTTCAAAAAGGATCATTTATTCCCCTCAGTTCTGTGCATTGTGCTGTACAATTACAGCCAACCCAGGATTTAGCCTTAATGTGCTACGTGATCCCCGTCTTGTGTGTAAAACAAAGCGTTGCGTGAGTGATATCGGCACAGACGGACTTGTCTGTGATAGTTGCCAACTTTCTCACCCCTGCAGCTATCGTCTTACTGCTCGGCTCTGCCTTTCTTTGATCATCTTATGGAGTTTCTCAGTAGTTGTAATACCATCAGTCAGTGCTAAAGTATGACCTGCCAGTGACACATTAATCCACGTTTGGTTGCATTCGAAGAATCATTCTAGGCTTTGGTTTGGCTTCTTTTTCACAAGCCGATTTGGGTTATGTTACCAATTCATCGCTTTTATTTTGTTCTTGAAAATCCAACATCCTGATGATAGCAGTATGGTGAGTTGAGTATTGCATATTGACCTTCAGCCACCGTTGTACCTATTGATCTGGCTGTGATGACACAATGACTATGATTTCCCAACTCAGACAACTGGTAGTAACTCATTTTTATCACCCAGACTTGGCTGGTGGAAACAGGTCACTTTTTCACTGATTCCGACCCGTTTATGTAAGAGTCCTCTGGCATGTGACGGCAGCCAGTGAATTGGTACCCGCTGGGCTCTGAACACAGGCTTCCCGCCGGTTTTGATCTCTCAGTCGTGCACTGGTTTTATTTTTGTTTTAGGCGGCAATTAGCGAACATGAGAACGTACTCTGTGGGGCCGGCCAACGCGGTGCAGGACGGTTTTTAAAAGAGCCTCCGTCTGTGGCTTTGAACCCCATCCAGAAAGAAAAAGTTTGGGGGACGTAGTCAACTGATCAAAGAGCAGAGGGACCTTTGCTTGATTGTGCGGTGTTCTCTGTCTTGTCTTTGTTAATGTGGATCTTTGAATGGGTGAGACTGGGACATGGCCTGCTTAAAAGGTTGCATAAACAGTGCAAATAGGCAGTGTTGTCTCATTAAGGGCAAACACTAATCATAGTGTGACAAACTCTCACATACATTAAAGTTCACTGGAAGGCAGACAATATGTTACTTGTTGTTGTTTATGTAGTTGGTGAAGTTTCTGCTCCAGCACTTGATGAGCTGTTGGTCTTAAAGGTCCAGTGTGTAGGATTTACTTGAATCTAGCGGTGAGATTGCACATTGCAAACAACTGAAACCCCTTGACTCAACCAAGCAAGAGGCAGTGTTTGCTTCGTCTGTTCTGGGCTATTGTAGAAACATGGCAGTTCAACGTGGTGGACTCCTCCACCTCCTTTATGTCATGTTATTAGTTATTAGTTTTTAGTTTTAGGTATACCGCCTTTTCTGCCCAAGTGGACTAGCTTCTCGGCTAATTGAGTTAACCGAGGTACCTCTTGTCAATGTCTGCATTCAGGTCCCCCTCATAAAAACGGCTCATCCTAAGGTAACGAAAACACAGCAGTTCCTATCTGACTGAGTCAGTTACCTTCAAGCTACAACATGTATAGACACCACCAAAGATTTAGATAACCAAATGTCAGTGACACCGTAGGTTTATAGCAAAGCTAACAAGGATGGTAACGTTAGCACAGACTTTTAAGGTCTATGTGGCTCTAAAACCCTTCGCAAATGTCCCAACATGATATAGAGCCAACCACGACACAGTAAGTAGTGTAACTAATGTTAGCAAGGTTGTGTGTTAGTTAACTGTTGCTGCCGTTACTGCTGTTGTGTTTTTGTAGTTTTTTTAATTTTAAGTCAGCATCTCACCTAATGTAGACATCAACAACGCCCCTAAATGAATGAATGTTGAATGAATGAATGAATGTTGAAGTTCACCTTGGTGGCCTGAGTCAGTGACCTTCAAGCCATGACAAGTATAAACACCACAAAAGAGTTACATGACCAGCAGCCTCAAATTTCTTTTTAGAGGCAATTCACATGCAAACGCTGGCCATGTTTACAAGAGAAGTCTGGAATTATTCTGTATTTTTTCTATTGCCAACAAAACCAATGTATATATATATATATATATATATATATATATATATATATA